TTAGAAATTAGAGAATTATTGTTTTTTTTATATAATATATTATAGAGCTACTATAAGGGCCCGATAGGGCCCGATCTTAGTTCTTGTGAGGTTTTTGGGGGTCCTGAGCATTTTTACTTAGAAAACCCGATCCTGTTTACTTAGTATGTTTTTGAGATATAGCAACACTAGTGATGATCACCAGTGGCGATAAATAGCAAACTCCTAAATTTATATAATTTTTTGTAGCAATTTTCTAATAACGCTGCAATAGTACTGGAGAAATTAAAGACTTTAAGGCTTTACTAGCACGTAGAACTCAGCGTTGCTCGGGTTCTAGTTTTTAATTTTTTGCTAATTCTTAGGCCTCAATAAATATAAACTGTTCAACAATCTTATATGCATATACGCATATATGTATTAATTTATTATTATATTGTAAATCGCATTACAGTATAGTCTTTTTTTACTATAATGTTATGTAAATCACATAACTTGATTTGAAGGGAGGAACCGTTGATATGTTACAAAATCATTACACAATTAATGAAATTTTTTTTTATATTATTTTACAATACTTTTTTGGAAGGCTCGCTTGACTTATCTTTTCCATGAATATTGAAAATAGTTAAACAAACTTAAAGCTCTCACTTTGCTTTACAACATATTTTTTGAATCCTCTTGAATTCCACAGTTTCATCTTTTTGTAAATTTCGCAATTTAATTGGTTGACTAATCTCATAGTGATATTTTTGACTGGTCAATATAATGAGTAATCAGTATAACAGAGAATAAAAATCATATCTATATTTTGATGGTTTTTCTTGTTACCCAAACATTGCCCGGCCCTAAGATCTAATTTTTTTTTATAGCTACTTTCATAATTTCTGGAACACCTGATAAAATTGACCAAATGATTTTTCAGCTGATTCGGTTAAGTTATTAATTTCAGCATAATCTATAATAATAAAAATAATAAAAGCTATTTTTGTATAATAATGATAATTTTACGATCTCTATAACAATAATGTCAACTTTTTTAAATTTTCATTCAAATACTTGTCAAACATGTTTGGTGTGCTTAGTTTGTATGAAAATTTATGGAAAGACTGCTCTTGTTAGCCAATAAACCTTAATAAGAAACGTAAAAAAGGACCCGAATATAAATTAGGCTTTTGTAACAAATATATTACACGAACAGGTGCCGCTATTAAAAAAGCCAAATATGAATATGAATTTGTCAACTGGCTTAAAAATGAATCTTAGATTAGAATTTCAAGTGACCAAGATATTGTTAATATCTGTCGAGAATATATGAAGAATTATGATAAACGAAATCAAAGTAAAAAATTTTATACTTATATTACCTTAATAGTAAATGTGGTTTTCCTGAAAGTGACAAAAGTTTTTCAACACATCAATATTTTTGAAGCTGCTTCGAAAGTATCATATTTTATATACTCAATATTAAAAGCTTATTACCAAATTTTTATTAGTTGTCCCAGAATTTATATGAATAGCTATAAACGAATACCAGAATAAATTCAGATCTATATATTTGATAGTTATCCTTAGCAAATTGGAACTCTAATAGCTAGTATTAGAATGAGAAGTTAGTATTATAAAATTATTCTAACAGCTCTTTAAAGTTAAAATTTAGTAGTTTGGTTATGGAAGTTCATAATATATACAGTATTAAAATTTTATATAGATTTTTTTTTTGCTGATATGCTCATTACTAATATGTATATTAATCTTTTTAATATTATTGGATATAAGGATAGTGAAAATTCAAAACAACAAACCTGACCTAATTCTTGTACAGAAAAGCAATGCTTTTGTATATACTAAGAAAAAAACAATTTCTGAATCCAATAGAACTAAATAGCGTATTTACTAATTTAGATAGTGGTGTTAATTTGAGTGAGAAAATGAATTCATTTAGTATACTTGTATAAGGAAAAAAACAAACATTTATTAAAAATACTTTGATGCAAAAAACTAGTACTAGTACTTAGCAAGCAATTCTAGTAACAGAACAGAAGGCTGAAATGCTAAAAAACGAAAAAATAATGAAAAAAGAAAAACTTATTTCAGTAATTAATTCAATATTTATATTACTGCCCAAATCCCAATGCTTAAAATATACTAATTTAAAAAATAAGACAAAAACTACACTATTAACAATCTTACAAGAAATTCGAGGTTTAAATAATCTTGATAAGGTTGTTGGTGATGATGATGTAAATAAAGATGCTATTAGTGAAAATAATATAAATAAAGAGCTTGCAGACAAAGAAGTGGTATAAAGAAGTTAATAATTATATATTATATAAATATATCTCTTATTAATAGCTGATAAGTATTTATCTGTTATTACTAATATTTTTTTTTTTTTTTTTTTAATTCGGCAGTCTTGCCTTAACTGTTTATTAGTACTCTAAGGTATTGTAGTTACAAATGTACATATACATTTACAACTATCTAATTTATTACAGATAAGACTCACCCGGTTACTAACTTAGTACC